TCCTTGGTGGTTTCCTCGGTTTGGGTCTGGATGACTCTAACCTCTACAATCCTGCAGCTGCTTTCTCTGCCTGTACGTACCGACGTCATATACACCGTCAAGAGTTCAGGATAGTTGAGAAAGCAGATCGATTTCACCTCCCAGTGCATTGTATCATCAGCGGAGCCACTCGCTGTCTCATGAGTCAGCCCCGCTATGATTGAACAATCTACCGACCAAGACGAGGCATGTGACAGAAGCAAAACTGTCCCCGTTGCATTCAGCACCCAAATGCTTAAAAACATTTGCCACTTGGTTCTCCCAGCGATGACGATTGCATGGGTACGGGAGACGTAAGACAGTGGACAATCTCACCAGACATCTGACTTATGACAAGGGTTGGTGGAGGTGAGGGGTTGCAGATTTTAGGAGACATGGTTCCAATCGATACTGGCAGCGAAACCTGATACAGGACTTGTATACATGGAGATTGGACAGGTTCTCGTTTGTGAAACAAGAATCAGACCATAAGGAGTACGATGTACGCAATGACAAAGGGATTGGATTTAGTGTCACCGGCAGATCTATTTTTTGAGAAAGGATACCGTCAAAAGGGAAGGCAATGTTAGCCGGGGAGGGTGAAGCAAACATCGAAAGTGGCACTGCCCTTGGGCTTAGCCGGGGTCGACGATGCCAACCACGAGCAGCAGCTTAAGAAATTGCTTGGCTTTAAGTTGACTGCACTGAGGCAGGGAGAGCAACCCGCTCAAGGAAAATCGCAACAGTTCTAAACTCTAAACCATCCAAAAGACGCCAACCAAAGCTGATCTCCCTCTTGAGTATCTACAAAGTCCACGCCCCAAGTTGCTAAAGCTACCGACGTGGAGAATGGTTGCATTGATTCCAAACACCCTTACACTGCAAGTCTAAGTTTATCAAGCTTCGCCGTTTCTTTCCTCGGTTTCCGCTTGAACTTACACCCCAGACACTCAACCCGAAGCAAACACCCCACCTTGTCCCATGCTCAGCATCCCAATCCCGGCTTGCTGTTTGTCTGGAATATTCTGGAAGTCAAGTGGAAGGTCGCAACCAGTTACTGTGCAAGCACGGTCTCGACAATCGTAGTTTGAGACGAGATAGCTTGCTAGTAAGAATCGCTTCGCGACTGTGCGGGGAAGTTGTTGTTGAGGCCAGGCTCCGTCGTTGTCAGTGGACGTCAACGCCATTGGACGTACCTGCAATCGAAGAAGTGATAATGTAATCAGTTCGCACAAACAGCATCCATTTAGGTAAGGATGACTGGTTTTCAAGTGTGCGTGAGCGTGCGTGCGTCATTGTGAGACTGCTCGGTAGTTGGTCAGGGTGTCAAGACTGATTAGGGTATCCGCTTTCATGTCTCATGAGATTCATGGGCTGGGCATTGGCAGCATCCGTTTGCCACTGGATTTGCCACGACTGAGGCTCACAAAAGTTCTTTTTCGAATCGGAGGAAGATGCCCAGCGGAGCTTAGTGCTAGACATCAGAAGCTCGTTCCCCAGATCCGGTGACATGAAGCAGGGACGCTCTGGAGTTTGGAGTTTTGCTGAGCCTGGTTTTAGAGACGACAGGTCACAGCCAGCATCTGGCTGTGCAGACGGGTCCACAGCTGGATCGATCGGCGTCTCCGTGCCTATCCATGGGGAGTCAAAAGAGCCACCTGTCTGTTCCAGAAGCCAAGGACCGCTGCGTGATGACTCGTCTCATGCTGACCATAGATGTGCTAGATGTGCTGCACCTACAGCAAGACAAACGGCTGATGTATAAATGAATACATTATACATGTCTGCAATTGTCTGCATATGTATATATATATATATAGAGATATATAGATATATACACAACCAAAACATGTCGTACTTGTAAACTTGTAAACGCGTCGCTTCGTCCGCCTTGGCCCGGATGCAGGGCCCAATAAGACGACGACGAATGTGGCAGCACTATTTTGAGCACTTGAGGCGGGCATCAGCACCACTCCACAGTCAAAATTTTTGGTCGCGGGGGCTTGGAAGCCAAAATCCATTTTGTTCTTTTGGAGGAGGCGTGGGGCTGCGCACTTGTGAGGGGATTAAGAGGAGGGGAAACAGGTTTCGGGAAAGGAAGGAGGGAACCTCTGACGGCATCGGCCGTGCCCGAGGCGAAGTGGTCGGGCAGCAGCAAGGCCAGCATGGCCAGCCCTTTGGCGAACTCCTAGATGCTGACTTAACATGACCATCCGCAGAAGGGGCCTAGACAGAGAGTCCCCGCAGAAACAGCTGAAAAACACTTCACGTTGCAAGGTAACAAAACAGTCACATCAGCCACAGCCCGGAATTAGCGGTAACGCAACGAGAAAATGAAACAGAAGCCCACGGCAAAGGTTGCAACGGGAGGGGGGAGGCGGGGGTTTAGGCACAGATGCATTTCGCTTGCTTTTACCGCGCACTCAGGCCTTGGCTTTCGCGGCTTGCGCTAGAGATTTGCCGAGGTCTCCTGTCTACGGCCTCGTGCGCGAAGTCCCAATCTCCATGTCAAAAAGTGAAGCATTTTCGATGGTATGGGACTTCCTAGTTAACACTGCAGGATGCTCACCCGGGAGTGCTCCACACCCTAGGTCCAAGAAGTGTGAGCACCTGCATGTCTCTGCAATTGATGCCTCTCCATTGGTGCATATTGGTGCCAGTCAAGTCAAGCGCCATGTTTCCAGGAAGTTTCGGAAGCCTACCGGCGTTGGAAGCCTAGTTTATGAAGCGAAGGGCCGGCCCAAGGGCCTACCATGGCCTACCTTTGTTTCCTTTCTCGATTCGATGTTCGCTGTCTGCGAAGGTCCCACCACGAGCAGCGCTTTGTCGGACGTCTCCTCCAGGAGCTAGAGCAGCTAGAGAGGGTGCTAAACAGCGAAGCGAACCCATGCGATAGGAATCTAGCAGCCTTCCCCAAATTGGAGAACGGCAGGTCGGGTAGGTACACTTGCTGCGCTCCAGGAGCAAGCCGAGCCAGCAAAGCAGCTTTGGGAGCTGATGTTCGAGTCTTGCAAGTAGGCTTGTCGTGAGCTGCGGAAGAACTGTATCCACCGACCGCATCTCTGAGAGCACTGTGCAACTTAGAGCTCACCTGTGATCCTTCTGCCATGATCCGGCTCGCGGCCTCCTCGAAAACATCGCAGACAGAAAGTCCACAACCTTGTCAAAGACAGGGTTGTAAGTAGAAGTCCATGCGCAGCCGAACGTCCTGCCCAGCTTCAAACTCTGAGTTGGCCGAGATGATGTTGTGCTCTGCAGTGCTTCTCTGGTTGCCTGACATGTGCTGGTAGAACCTGCAAAAGAGTCGTGAGGAGCATGCAGACGTGTTGTCACGTGTAGATTTGACTTCCGTATCATACGAAGGCCAGAAGATGATGGTCGGGATGTGAGCCTTAAGACTGGGTGTCCGAACATTGACTCGCCTCCAGTGCATGTCCTGCTGCTACTGCTTTGTTCCTGCGTCAATCATTAAGTCCCATAGTCGGGTCCCACGCAGGAATCAGGATTGCCAGGGTTGTTCAAAACCCGAATCGCACTGTGGTTGGCAGAAGGGTTTGGTCTTGCAGAGCTTCACGGGATCTGCAGCACTAGCTAGGCATCCTGATTTTGATAAGTTCGTGTACAAGCCTGCGCTCCCTCGCAGACACTGAGCTCGCAGCCCTGTCTTCGCTTCGTCGGACTGAAAACCCTTGACGAGGCCGAGACGTAAAATGAAAGGTTTGCGCCCCCTGTCGGACGCCCTTTCACAGGTCTACGAACTCATCGGCCTGGACGGACTGCTGGGTGTGCGACCCGGGGAAAACGCCTCGGAGGCGACGGGCATCCACGATCTGAGACGCCTTGCTGTGCTGCTGTGCTCTCGAGGCCATCGCTTTCGTTGAAAGGGGTGCAACGGGCGCCAGTCTGTTCCGGCGGCTGACGGGCCAGGCCAGAATAACAAAAGCCATACGTCCCAAGCAGCCCGACTTCGCAGCTGCAACAAGGAGCCGGGAGCAGAAGCTCCCGTTCGCGGTCCTTCTGCCTGGGGGCAGCCAGGTGCATTCTAGTGCTCTGACACGTGGAGAGTAAGCAATGACATGGCAGGCAGCAGCAGAGTGCGTGTTTCTTTGGAGCAGACACTGACAGCAGGCAATGGAGGGGTTCTTTTGAGCATGTGTCAGGTGTTGAGTCATAGCTGATTGTATTACCATGTTCACATGGTTAGACCGGGACAGCGTGGAGTCGGAACATGCCAGCGACGATTGCTAGGTAAGCGAAGAGAGATGCAGAGTGTCCTGAGTGCAGATTGTTCAATATTGTACATGTCCGTGAGACTCTAGGCTGTCGTTACATGCGGCTTGCGGTGGGCATTCTCCAGATTCTCAAGCACATCAAAATTGAACTAGAAAGGGGATTTGTCGACGAAGCAGGTGTGAATCGTCGGTGACCTGCTCATTTCCGACATGATTACAAAGCCTTCCGCATGCCCGTTTTTTTTCCAAATTCCTGTTAATTGAGTTCTTGACAGCCACATTGCTCCGAGTCAGGACTCCAAGTTGCAAGGGACCTTTCTCGTGCCTGCAAGCCTTTCCGGCAAGAGTGGCGCCAGTCACTTCCTAGCTTTCCTGATGTGTTCCGGCATCAAAAAAGAGAGGATCCAGATGCCCAGCATGTACAGGCTGACGGCTCTTTGGTGTCCGGTCGGAGGCCAGCCTGCCATGCGGCAGAACGCGCCTTAGACTCTAGACTCCCAAAAACGCGTGTCCCAGCAGCACGAAACTCCAAACCACATTCTGGAATGTGCTAAAAGTCTGTGAGACTTTCTAGCTGAAGCTGTCAGCTGTGTTTTTTCCGGCATCCTAACGACGAATCGGCACTGGTCAGTCATATAATTACCAGCGCACCCATTCAGCAGGGACTCGCCTCCTTGTCGTCCCTCGAAGTCAGGAGTCAAAAGGGCGCGATATTTGCGGCGTGCAGGCACCAGAGCTAGAACACTCAAGCGAGAAGCGCTTTGCCAGAAATTCGCATACAGAAAGCACTGAGGTAGAGCTCATACTCTGTGGCGTGCAGCCCGCTTTGTCTCTCTGTCCTTATTCCTCCATTTCTTGGTCTTTGGTGCACACTCTGGCGATCTTTATGGTTCTATGAGGTTCTTATGTTATAGGTGTAAAGAAACTTGGTCTCCGCGCGAGCTGCGCGAAGAGCCGCACACGGAATCTTCCGTGCTCGCGTTGTGGCGTGGTGCATAGCACCCTCTGGGAGACGGGGCCGGAGGGGCAGGGGGTCAGGGTATTTTAGGGGGAGGTGATGTGCGTTGCACTCACGAACTCCTGGGCGACCCACTACTCAGCCCCAGGAAATGGGATGCCGTACCGGACCTGTCAACAATGAGCCTAAAAATCGGTGGAGTGTCGGGGATCCCAGCACTAATCATCCTCAATAAAGCTATGTTCCGATGGTCCAACTCTCTGGGTTCACTCTACATGATCCCATGGGACCAGGTCAAGACACCCAGGCCTCCGGCCTCGGCGGATTTACATGGGCCTGCTGCGGCCGTATCCTCCAGAAAGTGCGACCCAGTGCAAATTGCAATAAGTTTGATGACACTGGTCTCGAAACGGTTGACCGCCAGTACATGTGGGAAGCATTTTGGGCGTGGTCCTCTGAAAGCGACTAGACAAGGCGAGAAGGATTGTGGTCTGTAGAACGCTGAACCCTGCCAGACATGGCCGGAACGATTGAGATGGTGGTCTCGGATCGCATCCGGATTCGGTGCATGGTCTTTCGCAATGCCATGTATGCCAGGACCTCGGGCAGACAGGAGGCTTCCAAAGTCTGCGCCGACCGATGCCTGGGACACGAAAGTGCCGCCCTGATCCACTGGGCCTGTGTAAAGACCCCGCAGCTGCCCCGTGCCCACTTCAATACCAGATGCTGCAGGCAGACGACACGCAGGAAGTTCCTGACAGCTGGGAGGACATGTGAGTCGACACTTCCCTCATGGGATGTCATGGTAAGCAATCGGTCGGTGCACTGAGGCCAGCAGAGATCGAAGTCATAAATACTTCAACAGTTAAGTCTTAACATAGGAAGTCGCCTTTCATGAGCTGGGTGTACAGATTCAGCAGAGCCTGTGACTTGCCGAGCGGAAGCAGAGCTCGGATGAGGTGGGGTTGGACATAGCGATGAAATTCTCGGCATGTCGCAGTCTGCTGTCTTTCAGCCATATTGCCTGGCAGTCCTGCACTTGCCACAGCGCGCTGGCATAGCCACTGCTTGTACAGACGGCGGGCATGAGCCACATCAGCGCCCTTCTGGTGAAGGGCCATTTGCTCCTGCAGTTACAGGCAAAAACGAGCGTGCATCCAGCGATGAGCATCGATTTCTGCGACGGCCAGAGGTGCACGTGGTGCGCAAATGCTGCGTGGCTCAAAGGCCCCAAATCCTGAAAGGAAGACGACTCTTGCTTTTTGCCCTCTCCGACTCAAAGGCCCCAACTGTCACCTGCGCATACCTGCGCCCGCTAAGAGCAGCGCAGGCACGTCGATGACTGGTGCCGACTTCTTCCCAATCCGCGAGCTGTCCACGTATCAGGCCTGCGCGAAGATTAGGCTTGTGTTCTGGTGGGTGTTTTAGCCAATGTGCTCTACTTTGCACGAGCGCAGCTGGTCCGCGCCCCTCGGACTCAAGATTTGGGCTTCGAGTACGATGTTTATCTCGTTAAGCGGAATTATGGCACGTTCCTTCTTGCTGCCCCCTGTCTGCTGACAGACGAAGTGGACGATCAAGGGCCGTGTGACAAGCAAGGCGCCGCTGCAGCTCGCCAGCACAGCACCCAGCATGCCGAGTTGGTCTGCGCATGTCCGCGCTGAGGAGAACATTCAAGCAGAGAAATGGAAGTGGCCAGGGCAAGGCTTTCCGAATCCATGCGCCAAAGCAGCTTCGGAATTCGGTTACGCAGGTGTTCCACGTTGAGCTGCTTGATGCTGAAGGCAAGATGCGCACTCCACAAAAAAGTGTAACGGTGACGTCAGCGGAATTGTCAGTCAGAGGTGGAGAGATCCGTGCAAGTTTCTTCAACGACGCGGCAGACAAGCACTTTGAACTGCTGGAGGCACTGCGAAAGTCCTGCGCAGCAGCCTTCAGCGGGTTGCGAGAGCGAAGTCGAAGTGCGAGGTTGGCAAGTGCTTCACTTTGAGCAAGGGGCAAGTGAAGCTCGCAAACAGGCAATACAACGCCTGCCCCTCTCCCGCAAAGAAGGGCTGACTTTCTGTATGCGGTATGTTGAGGACAGGGTTGCCATATATATATATATATATGTATACATTACATGTATACATATATATATATATATAATTATATATATATAATATATATATATATATATATATGGTCCCCCCCTCCCGCAAGATCTACGCTTGCAGGCTTCATACCATCGCATGGTTACTTACACATACGGGTACACTCGTCATAGGTACAGAAACCACCGTAAACATCGATATTGTCGCTTTTATCCTCGAAGACATACAGCCGTGCTGCTGCGCATCTGGTTTCGATGCATCGATAAATCTGCGGCCGAAATTCGGCCAACAAAAATAATACATTGTGTATTCGGAAGGCCGAAACTGTCGGATAGTCTTGCATTTCATGTGCTGTGGCATTCACAAACCTCGCGTGTTTTTGCATTTTTCGGTTGTGAACCTACGCTATTGAACGGTGGGCTCCTCCTGAGTTTCCTAATTTCAGTCGTTGTCTATAGGGTATGCTATGGGGTATTATACAAAGTATTAATGGTATTCTATAAGGTGTCTATAGGGTACTCCATAAAGGATTGTACAAAAAGGCAACCTGTAGCCTTTATTTAGGACGGTATTCTATAGGTAGATGAAACTCTTTAAGGTATATAGAGGGGGTACGCTATCAGGTAGTTGTAAGGCTGTTTTTCTTGGTTCCTGATTTTGTTCAGGGGAATCCCATACCCAGAAGCTACAATTCAATTGGGGACTTCTCAGACTCCGACTGGTTGTCCATGTTAAAAATCCGTATCTATAGGGCACTTTATAGGGTATTTTATTGGGGATTCTAAAAGGCATCCTATAAGGTACTGTATAGGTATGCTTGATGGCATACGTAAGGCATACAAGTAACATATATAGGCGGTAAGGTATTCTACAGGATATGCAAGATGGTATTCTAGAAGGTATAGGTAGGGTATATCGGGGGAGTTGTATAACGTATTCCATATCTTGTTGTCTAGATGTATGCCTTACTAGATAAGTTTCGATTTGTTCACGGAGTTCCTAGATCCTAGATTCCGCATTTCCTTCATCTGAATCCCTACCCAGTAAATTATCATTTAGTTGGGGAACTCTCAGATCTCGGCCTCCTCCCGATCTTTCCTATATACACGCTGTTTCTGTAAAATGTTGGATGGGGTATTATGGGGTGTTTCATAGGGTATATATATAGCTGTTATTCAACAAGGTATATACAAGGCATATAGGGGGTATTCTACAAGGTACTGCAGTCTTTTGTAAGGGATTTCTGTAAAGTTTGTAGAACGGGTATTTTGTAAGGTGTTCTACAGGCTGGTATCTCCTTTATTCCTCATTTCTTTTATAAAAAAAACCCCTTGCTCAATAAGCTACAAGATATTGGGCTCCTACATAAATCCTGGTCTATAGGGTATCTTTCGGGTATTCCAGAGGGGATTCTCAACGGTATATACATAATGTATACGAGGGGTATCATGTAGAGGGTTTCCTACAAGGCATTCTATACGGTGTTCCAGATGGTATTTTGCAAGGCTTATGTATGGTATCTTGGAGTGAAGCAAAGTATTCTATGGGGCATTTTTTCGGGTATCTAGAGAGTATTCCATAAGGTCTTGTATAAAAGGTATTCTATAGGGTGTGTATTTTTAGACAAGAATTCTATGAGGTATTTCTACAGGCTGGAGGATATTCCGCAGGGTAGAAACAGGATAAAAGGGATATATTTGATATGGTATTAACCAGGCTATTCTGTATGAAATTTTGCAAGGTAAAAAAGCCGGGGTACTTTACAAGGCATTTTAAAAACTATTCTTCCACTAGTAGGTTCCTGATTTCCTTCATTGGAATCTGTTACTCAATAAGCTACATCTCAACTGGAAATTTTCCATGGCTTCGTGTACTGCAAAAGATCAATTGGGTTGGAGTCACGCTTGATTGTGTACAGCTGCGCACTCATCACATGTTCTTTATCACTAGTCACTAGACCCTTTGCTACGCACTCATTGGCTCAAAACTTCGGCTGGAGGGGAACTGAAGGGACCAGGCGGTTTTGCTTTAGGCACCAGCCCCGAAACCGATTGATGTTCAGAAGGCCCGCTCTGGCCGCGGCTGATGCCCCTGCTTTTACACGCCAGGTTTTGCTTTAGGCACCAGCCCCGAAACCGCTTGCTGTTCATGATGCTCGCTCCCGCTGTGGCTGATGCTTCAGGTTCCAGATTGACGGACCTCATGATTCAAGATTCCAGATTTCCAGATTGACAGGCCCCAAGATTCCAGATTTCCAGATTTGCACGCCGCAGTGTCGAGAGATTCCAGATTTATGGAAATCTGGAATCTGGAAACCTGAGGGTGTGGAAATCTGGAATCTCTGGAAACTTAGGGCGTGCAAATCGGGAAATCTGGAATTTGGAATCTCTGGAATCCTAGGGTGTGCAAATCTGGAATCTAGAATCTCTGGGAACTTAGGGCGTGCACATCTGGATCTGGAATCTGGAAACCTGCAGACGTAGATCTTGGGGGGGACGGCGAGCATTTGTGCATATATATATATATATCATATATGTATATATATATATCACGTATGGTGCCACGGTTGTTTTGCCCGGCATGCGTCGGCCGTGGTACAAGGCAAGCATCGCTATGAGCTCGTATTCGACAAGGCTTGTCAGGCCCGAATCACAAGAAGCCTTTGCCGACGGCCGTCGTTTCCCAGCTGCGTTCAGGTCGATGGAGTTGCAGACGATGGAAAGATCGACACCGTTAAGCCGTGGTCTCATCGAAACCTCGGCTTCAAGAGCTCTCCGCACTTGGGATGGCGCTGAGGTTCTCCGTGGTTGAACTGCGTTCCGTTGATATCTTACCTCTCGCTTGTCCTCGTGTGATAATCAGTCTTGACCTGCGTTTGAGATTATTTGGGGTCTGAATGTGAGGTGCAGGGAAAGACACTGTCATGGGCTCGGGATGTTGCCTTGACACCGGCTGCCACTAGCAAGATTTAGGCCCTGTAGCGTGGACGTTTGTGGCATCGTCAAAGACTACGACAAGTCTTTTGCCTTCACCTCCAAGGATGGGCCAGAGGCTGAGAACAAAAACTCTTGAAGCGTGAACTGCGAAGTGCGCTGAATCCGAGGAAAGACCTGGTCAAAAGAACTTTGACCTTGGCAGTGCGAAACTTGATTTGCAGTGCGCACACCGTGCTCATACATGCGCAGTATTCGTCAGCATGTCCTCGATTTCTGACAGGACGACAGCGGCATCAGCATGCAAGTCACAATATGGGGCGATCGTGCAAAAAAGGACCATCTCGAGTGTCATAGACTTCAACTTGCGATGCCGTTTGGACTGCAGGAAGACTCGGTGTTTGAGGGCAATCCAGTTGTCGCCATGAAAGGAGTATCGGTGAAGGCATCGCAACTGACTACATTAAGCATTTTGCGGCCAGCCGCTGCAAGCTTTCCTGTCAGGAATGGCAAGGAGGTTTAAGTGGGTCTTTGATGGAGGCTGCTGCCCTTTCCACCTTCCAGCAGTCAGACATGTCATTTTGCTTTGCAAAACGATTCTGCAGGGCGGCTCGCTCGCCTTCAACCCTGACATGCCCGAAGCGCACAAGGCCCAGCTGGCGGTTCAGTCCGCTGTACCAATCCTAACTGGATAAGCTGGTGGCAAGTCACCAAATTTGGCTTGAATTTCAAGACAAGGCAGCTGCATGACAACCATGCGCACCATCACCACCCCACCTCGCCATACCCCGCCCTCCCGAGTGGCTGAGCATCTGTTCTGCGAGCGGACGGTTGCGGCTTTCGCTGGTGTATACCTTGAGCTATGTCAGGTTACACACGGCTAGGCTACGTAGGTTTTAGACTATGTTGGGTTAGATCAGGCGTGCAGGGTGGTCTAGCTGAGGGTTTTAGACTGTTTAGAGGAGGTGGCTTGGCAGGCTGGGTTGGACTAGTGACTAGTGCGTTTGATCTGCTTTGATGAGGTCAGATTAGACTTGGGTGCTCTATCATAGCTGGATAACATGTTACATTTTTGTGGGTACTCGAACTCAATAAGTAGTAGAAATGCGAATTTGTAGTATTATCCCTACAATGACCTAGAGAAGTTCGGACAAAAAGGCTAAGGTCACGAAAGCTAGCTGGCTCTGTGGAGCTTGCGGGAGATGTCGTTTACTTCACCTGAGTAGTATCGACGCAGGTCAAAGCCTTGTCTAGGACCTTATCAATACTATTGTGATAAGAACTATTTGTTCTAGTCCTTCAGAAAAGGTGCTTGTAAAGCGGGGCAGGGGGGGCGCACAACGCAAGTCACCAATTCCCAAGTTCCTGTACCATATTGCCGTTGGTCCGCGATTACGATTCCTGTTTTGGTTCGTACGCAGGAACGCTTGAAACATACTCCTAGTTTGAAAAAGGAGTTTGGATTTAAAGCACAGGGCCAGAGGGTTGTTCGCAGCATGGGACAGAAGTTTGTTGGTGGACAAGAAATAGTAGATACCACATAGCCAAGAATCCCGAATGCAAAATATTGGGATACTAGTCTCCTGAAACTTGAGTTGTTGTTTCGTGTTGTGTTTTTCTTGATTCGGGATTCTATTGCTTTTACGTGCACCCACCCCAGTCGTTGTTTCTCGTGCGGAGCTGTTTGCTCACAGCGGATCTGTGGGAGGATTTCCGTTTGCGTTGAGGTTCGTGCCAGCCTTGCTCCAAAATGCTAGGTTTTCAATGACTAGGAAAGTTAGCCTTTATTTGTTCTTCTGTTGAGCTGAAACTGATATCGAATGCTCACTCAGTAGTTACCTCATACTATGTCGAAGATTCTGATTTTCAGTTAGCATGCTATGAGTATGTATATTACATCCAGTTTATACAGAGTTTATATATATATATATATGTATGCAATTATATGCACAAGCAGAGTACGCCATCAACAAGTAACAAGTATTTTTCCATACACTATAATACTTTATGTGTCGACTACATTTGCATCTCATATTGGTTGCTTGAACCTTTACCTGTGCTTGGACAAGGAGCAGCAGGAGTAGTACTAGTAGTCGTCGTCGTCGTAGTCGT